GCCCTGCTGCTCGTTCCAGCTGCCCTTGGGAGTCTTTTATGCCGTACTGTACTGTACAGTGTACTTGCTTTCGCGAACAGTTCTTCCCAGCATTAGAAAGAAGTAGGGCTAGCGAGTAAACGGGACTGTACAGTACGGTACTGTACAATAATTCTCAGAAGACATACGAAATGCTGTACCGCGAAGCCTGCTTATCCTTCAGAAACTAAGGATCTCAGGATACTTCGTTTACATTCAGTAGTTACAGTAGTACTGCTGTATAAAAGGATACATACCACAAACACAGACTTGAAAAAAAATCAGTCTCAGGACTTCGGATACAGTATATCCGCACTACCTGTAAGTCGGCAGATTTTGGCCTCTGAGAGGAAACAAATCAAAGAAATGATTGTATAATTTATCATTATACATAAAAATTGATTACGGTACGGACCAGCAAGTGCAGGCCGGCCCATTATGTGGGACAATCCCAGGTGACCACTGACCAGTGTACATAAAATGAAAGAGCGTAAATTATTCACCAATCAACTGAAAGGAATGATATTTGTTGAAAGCATCTCAATTTTCAATAAACCTTTCCAAATATGCACTATTTTTAATACAGTATTGCGCTTTATGATCGCGGAAATTTCTATCTGTTAAAAATGTGTGACGAATATAACTCGAAATGTATTTCGAAATTACACGAACATTCGTTCGAGGTCATCGACATCGTGTGATTTTACCTCAGTTTAAGCAAATCAATTTTACTGTACAGTATTGGGATTTCCAACCAATTTTTGCAATACTGTACATAGAACTTTGGCATAGTAGTGACCGTTCTCTCAAGAAGTCAAGATGTATGCCCGATCTAATTATATGAGAAATACAGGATAATTTCGTTAAAATAACATGTGGGATGTGGCACACTCGTGAATTGATCTTGTTCGCCGCATTAGTCAGAATCACTCGACGCTCTTTTTGAATTCATGCGACGTCAAACCGAAACGTCAAATTTCGACGCAGACTACGCTGATTGCGGGTACAATACGATACGAGTTTGAGTAAACACCTGAATGGAACTCAGTTGTCGCTAACGGTGAGAGATTTAAGGATGAGGTGAACGCAGGATTTTCGACTGAAGAGCCGAGTTTTTGACGTCACGCGACATCCCCTGTCGCAGCGCGCACAGTAAACGTAATCTTGCTGGGGAAAACATTATTTGCAACGACACGTTGTCCTTGCGTCATATTACAGTATTTGAAGACATGGCGATTCTTCGGCTTCGTATCTTCAATAAGTCAAATAACGGTACTGTAAAAAGCATACGGCTGGTAACATATCTGAGCGATACTGTAAGCCTTGTAAATAGTGATGGAGTTGCTCTACGATGATTCACAGGGGACTAAAAATAAATTTATTTGCCGTCGAGGAGTCAGATATTCTTCTACAATAACAGAATGTCGATATTCTTCTGCAATAACAGAATGTCTGCCACGACCGCGGAGAACATGAAGTATTGAGAATAAAGTGAGATCCCATGATGCGGACATAATTGGTGCATCAAGAGAGTCCTGCTGTCTGAATGTCCGTAAGTCGGGTCTAATTTTCCCTTAGACTTCAATGCTAATTTATTTAATTGGTTCTCCTTTTTGGCAAAAAATTAGAAATAAATCCTCAAAAAATGTAATAATTTTTTTTTCCTTGACTTCCAGATGAAGAAAACAACAGTGCAGAACAAAAACACATAGAATCTGATCTTTTGGTATCAAAAGAAGATCAAAAGTCTTACTAGAATATGCACAGATGATAGAAAAAACACTGAAAAAGCATAAAATCAGCTTGCTTTTGATTATGTACAAGAGTGATTTTATCATGAAATATTATTCAATGCTCCTCAATATAAATAGCTTGAGTCGTTCAAATGATTTCAGAATTTTAAAATAAAATATTTCAATTGTTTTAAATTATAGAAAAGTGATCTTAACTCGAGCGAATTTCCAGATTTCGGGCCTGATTTTTTGGTGTTCAAGTGTCCCTAACTTGAATTGTCCGTATGTCGGGGTGTCTGCATATTAGGGTCTCAATGCACTTCATTTTTATCCTGGTCAGAAAAAATACTTGTGCAAAAAACGTCTCTAACCGTGTTTCCAAATAGCAAAATTTCCCCCGAGGATAGTTTGAGTACTGAAAAATAACTCGAGTCTCTTGGGAACAATTTTATGATGCGTATTACAGTATATCCTTTTATTTTTGAGAGTTCGCCATATAGTGTTCGAAACCGTAATGCTTAAAAATGACAATTTTCCATCAGCTGACTTCTTTATATACGCAGCTATAGGGAACGTATTCCACGTTGCGAAATTATTGAACACGTGAAAGTTTCTCAGATGACTTTAGGGCAAATAAAAACCAGTACAGTACAGCGAAAACTTCCTATATAAGTCGATAGTTTTAACTGATTCTTCACGAATGCCCAATTGATATTTCTTTTCATAAAACGTGTATTCCTTGTGTTTCCCCGGAGGATAGAAACAACAGCATAATCCAAAAAATAGGGATACCGTTGGGAACATGATAAAAATAATGTAACATCATAATCCAGAGTTTATATGCTTTTTTGATACACCTCATACGCGGGTCTCTTTTATCGGGCCAATTTGTACTGCGAAGTCCCTTGAACATGCTTCCATTTTAAATCAGTATACTGTGTATTTGTACGGTACGTCTCCATTGGCGTGGGTCCTACATTGGGATTCAATTACGGTACTATACTCATCTTTCAAAAGTAAACTTACTTCCGTTTCATTCCATTTATTTTTTCTATTGGAGTAGCCGCGGAGCTCATGGAACTGGAGACTGGGCTCCGCGCGGAGCATGACCTTGAGCCCTTCAAGTTATACAATTTCAATTTTCGCTGAACAAATATACAGCAGGAATTGCGGGTTGCGAGCGTATTCAACAGTGGTCCCGAATATTACACAGCAGGAATGCAGGACACAGCAACTATTGTACATTTTAGAAGAAGACTTCAGAGGGGAAAGGATGCGTCATTGCTCGTACGTTCCCGTTATCGCCGAATCTACACCAAGGAGGGGGACGGTTTTGTGAATGGAATCCACCACAGCCGCCGCCTTGTACAGTACGGAACAGTATACGCTTCGCAGTCGGCGGTCGTTGAGCCGATACGTCGTGGAAAGAAAGAGAGTGGCCGTGAACACGGTGACGTCACGCACTTCAAGAACGCCACCCTTTGGAGCCTAGTAACCCACTGCGACGCGTTTACGTTGCTGCCTTTGTGTTCGGGCGAAGGCAGGGATGCGTACGGTGTTGCTAACCTGCGGCGGAACCGAATCACATCTACTACAGTACTGTAGCAGGAACGACGAAATCAGGACGCAACAGACTGTACTGTACTGTAATTCGGTTCTCTATTCTCAATAACTTTTCGGGCATTAGTCAGCAGAAAAAATTCGGTATGAAACGACGCCTTCGAGCTTCTCGTAGGAAATTTATGCTCGGAAATTTTACCATATACTACTCCGGCTGTACAATATTGTGAAGTGCTAGGCCCGTGGCTAGCGGAAAGTAGAGACGAACATTTACGCCTTTTTTTTCTTGCAGGGACTACATAACTGAATTGAAATTTTGAATCAACATTTTTACTCTCATACAAGCTGTAAAAACCTTGAAATCTTCAGTTGAAATGGAATACTGTATAATGAGGTAATTTCCTCTCATTTGATCCATGTATTTATTTGGCCTTTCGAGGTGTGACACATGAGAAATCCATGCACATTCCTTAAATGTACACGATAAAACCACAAATTTTAACTTTAAATGACCATTTCTACATCCCTTGTTTGCAATCGAATTCAGCTCTTGTCCTGAATGAAATTTTCCAGGACAGCAATCTGCAGATCATTACTGATCCTGAGGATTTGAAGTTTGAAAAAGCACCACGGCAACCAAAATTCGATGCAGTAGAATCGCATCACATAAAATCTTATTATAAAAAATGAATGCGTTGCAACAAATATTTCTTCTGGTCCCTGCTGCAAAATATCCAAAATGTTATTTGTTTTATTTTTAAAAAATGTTTTAGCTTAGACAATGCTTTTTCAAGGTCTCACGCGCATTTGGATTATAATGTGCATGAAAGAAACAAAATGCTCACCTCTCGAAATAAATAGAAGGAACATTCCATTTGACCTGTAATAGACGATCAAAAATTTCTTGAAAATTTAAATGGCAGTCAACCAGTTATTCTAGATCCAGAATAACTGATGCAAGGGTTATACAGATGGAGTCTCACTGAAAAGATCTTGTCTACAATGAATATATCTGTACATCAAATCTTTTTGGTCCCATACAGGGTTCTCTCCCCACAGGGTTTCTCCACACCGCAGTTTTTTTGACACATGAAAGTAATTGAAGAGAAAGTATAGCATTGCTGCTCAGTGAAGATCCAAGTTGCCCTTATAGTTATGACTTAAATTAAAGTGAAATTTTGATAGATTGAACCTCCTCACATAAAATACCGTCCTAATTTGAATTTTTCTTGTCCTTTGCCCCTATAATTTCCCGAAACTCTTTAACTCAAAATCTTTCCCAAGAAAAATTATTTCTTGGTTCCTTCAAATTTTACGTTGAGAGGGCCAACTCTACCAAGGAAGTATTGCCATTAAAAAAAAAAAGATGAAGAAACAAGAAAAATTACGTTGTTCGTGCAAAGTAGACCTAAAAATTTCGAATGTTCGGGGGAGAGCGCAAAATTCAGGGTAGGGCTAATATGTTTTCCAATGAAGTTCAAAAAAATAGTGACCCATCAACAAAATTGACTCAAGAAAAGCTCTGAGCGTCGAGGAAGTTTGCTGTAAAGAAATTCATTCCAGTTTCATCAGTGATACTCATATGGCAATTAAACTATACTAGCATAACTGTTGCAGCTGCCCCAGAAACCCGATTCTTACCCCCAACCTCACTGCACTTCATCGAATGGGTTAAGAAAAATCAACGCATTTTGCATCCAAAAAATTGCACTTCCATCGCCAGCACATCAAGAAGCATGACTATGGCCAACATGGGCGTTCATAAGGAGTCGTCTAGTCGACTCAACCTTACACACACGGTCACATCTGAATCACTCCCCACCCAATAAATTCAAAATCTTTCGTAACATTTCTCGACGCGAATCCCAGCGAACACCCACCACCCAATATGGCTCGCCGTCAGTCACATTTATATGTTCAACCATACGACATTTGCGCGGGAAAAAAAAAGTCTTCGCCAATTCAGGGCGAAAGTTTCCCACACCCAAGAACCCAGTATTCAACTGCGGTCGTCATGTCAACCAACGGAAAGTTCGCCAGTTACTCAACATCCTGAATGGTTACGAAATGTCACAATCACTCGAAGTACATGGAGTCTCCAACTTGACACTTCGGGGGCATCACAAAACTATTCTCTCAACGTTGTCGCTTATGCATGAGATTCAAAGAGAAGAAAAAAATCCAATCCAGGAAAGGAGTGTTTGATGTATTCAAGTTTTACTTTTTGATTACTCTTTTCAGCAAATTCACGACGAACAAGGAGCAAATAGATTTAGTTCGCGCTGCTTCGACGGTTTCGGAACCCAACGGCGCTTTTGGTTTTTGTCAACGCGGGGAGTATTATCCATTTCACTGTCGGATGCTCCAGCTTGTTGCAAGAATCCCAAGTGTTGACTGTCATATGCCGATGAAGAACGATTGCCGGCAATGGACGATCCTAGCTCGCCCGAACCTGAGTATTTCTTCAATGACTTGTTCAAGTCGTCGACTTCTGCGACTGGGCCAGTATTTTCCGAATTTTGATACAGTCCCGAAAAGACTTTCATCGTCGATCCACTGCATCAAGAAATAAAACACGACTATAACACCGATTCATGAACTCCAGACAGGGATTGACATGAACAATTCGGAAGTTAATCAAGCTTCTGATTTTGTTTCCTGGGCATGGTTGTGAAAGAATTTCGCAAGTACAATTATTTATTTCTAGGTGATTCATTTGGAATCAAAGGAACGTCAGAAAAGGAATATCACGTATCGAAGTATAGTATACCACACTGTCATAATTCAAATTATGGCAATGCAAACGAGGCTCATTTGAGGCATCTTCCAGCTATACGGTCTGCATCGATCGTTTCGACCAGTGTTTCCAAAATTGTTTAAAACTGCGAAGTGAAAAAGAGAAAACATACTGCGGACTGGAAAAGGCACGAAAAATCGCAGACCTGCAGACAATTTATGCGGCCCTTGAGAGTGTTACATCTCAAAGGCCTCAAGTACAGTAATGGCTCTGACCCAACTTGTAAAACCATTTCTGTCCTAAAATTGATGGAATTTGAGAATACCAACTTTCTTTGAAGATTAACTGTATTTAAAGCTAGGGAAAAATCTCCGAAGCCTCATCTTTATGCAGAAGAGCCTCATCTTTATGCGATCTTGGTGACGTCAGAAGTTAGATAACGGTCAATGGCAAGGAGCGCGTGACTTGGAATAACGTGATTGTAAGGAATAAGATGGGTGCTGAACTTTTCTCACTTACAGAAATGAATTCTCATTCACCTTTAAAAATGTTTCAAAAAGAATTAAATCTGGTACGCACTTCGAAAAAAATATTCAAGATTTTACTCCTAGCGCCACAGCTGAAGAAAGAACTACAGCACGGCACCGTACAATAATTCGCGTCGAACAATTTGCAGCCGGATATTTTCCAAAAGTTTAAGATCTAAATTCAGAACAGTACTGTTCAGTAAATTACTCAGAATAATAAAAATTCAATTATAAAATACAGTTACCGTATATTTGCTGACGAATACGACCCCACGCTCTGAACATCGTTCAACACAGAAATGGACATGATTCCATCAGGTTATCAATCGAAAGATTTTACCGGAATCAATTATTTTCCTAGTTCCATGAGGTTGACGATTTTGGACAGTGAGCTAATCATGATTTCGAAGATGAAAAGCACTCCCGATACATTTTCAAGATCCAGGCTTGTATATGAGCTTGACATGCAACAACGTCAACCATACTCACTCGTCAGTAAAAAATGGATTTGTAACTCCCCCATAAGTCGGAACGCCAATTCTCCGACGACGTACCAAAGCTCGATCGGACTCATTTGCCGGAGAAGTCTCTCCATCTGACAATTCATGGTGATGGAAGTAATCCTTGAGGACTGGAGCACCCGAAGCCAAACTATGACCAATGGAGCCTAGCAAAGTCGAAGCTATCCCGCCACATGGCAAATAACCAGTTGCTGCGGATATCGCAGAGCCAGTAGCGCCGCTTTCTGTATCTGATGAATCCTCCGGAAGAGAAGATTCGGCTGCAGGCGACAAATTCATCCCACTGAAATTTGCACCCCCGACATCATCTGCAAAAATCCGAACGTAACGAATGATCAAATGCGAATCAGCGCGCGTCAAAATCGGACTCCACACTAGCTTGGTAGACTAGTAAAACAAAAACCCCACCATGTTCGTGACACAACTTCTCATGAATCGTAAAAAAATTCAGTAATTCGAAAATACAGTGTAAAAAAGTGCTTGAGGACGGACCTAATCTGACCGAGCTGTAGTAAGTTCCAGGATCAGATGATTTCTTCGCTGCCTGCGCGTATGTCTTGACAGCAATTTCTCCACTAGGCAAGACTGTGACAGCTGAATTTCGGCGAACTTTTTCTTCTTTTCCGCCAGTACAACTTCTACCTTGTGACTGCTTAACTGTATCACTACCCGCCGGACCAAATGCGTCTGCACTGCCAATCTTCTCAAAACCGCTCGCTGAATTCAGTTTTTCGTAGGACGATTTTTTTGGTGCCTCGGCCCCGAAAGGATACTTGATGAGAAAATATTCATCGGCTGGTGACGGGGGACTAAATGGGGTGTCGTCGAACGCGTATCTGAAAAATTCAGAATTTGAACGAGGCATCTTCATCGAAAACGACCATTTCGCTCAGACTCTCAGATTTGTAGCCCATCTCTGATCCCGCCAGGCATTTCGTCGCCCATTGACAAAATACTGTACAAAGTTTCGAACCAACAGTTTTATCGTAAAAGTGAAAACCTGACATGTTCAAAACTTTTTAACGCATAGGAACGGATTTGAAGCTTAAATAGTGCACAAAAAGGAAACGCACACTGAAAAAATGGAAGAATTACGCCGAAGAGCGAGGTTAGAAAAATAGACTGACCTATCAGGTGCTTTCCTTTTCATCCAGTCCGGCAGTGTGATGCCCAAAGAACCCGATGGACGGTCTGGTCGTTCCGCTGACATATTCACTACTGCGGACACATTCAAACAGGCCAGAAATCAGCTGCGAGCACTACGAAAAAGCCATAACTCTGAAAAAACCGAAAACGCTGTTAAAATCTCAATGCCGAATGAACTGAGTTGATGACATTGTTCAATATTCAAGTAAAAACGCAATCCCCTTTCACACGTCGGTGCTCACTCGGGTATGAAGAATAAATTGATGGCAGTTCAAAATCATGAAAAACCCACTCAAATACCAAGGTGTCACAAATCAAAGAACAAATAGAATAACTTTCGCAAATTTCTAGCATACCTACCACGTCAAGTAAGGAAGATTTTCAGGAATGCCTTCATTTTTGAACGGTCAGTCGTTGAGCAACAGCATCGCGGAA